AAAAAAAAAGAAAGAAAAACTTTTCAACTTATTAACCCCATATTATCATCATCATTGGATATGGTTGATTGAAAAAAAAAAAAAAAAATGATGAAAAATAATGTTGTTTGTTTGTTTGTTTGACATAAGTATATATGTGTGTTCTATAAATATCATCATCATCATCATCATTGTCATGACAATTCAAATAAACATCTTTTTTTCAATTATGAATGATAAATGGGGGGAGAAAACTAACCAATTTCAATTTCAATAATCCGATCAAAACCTTTTCTTTCGTCACAAAATAATTGAAGAATTTTATTTGAAATTGGATTTTTTTTTCACCTCGGTTTTTGGTTTGAAACAAAACCAAAAAAAACCAATTTCATACAAATAAAGTGAACAAAAAATTTGAATGTTAAAAGTCAATAACATTTAATCCGTGCTGACGACAAAAATTTACTATTCACTAAAACTAACAACAACAACAGAATCTAATTCTTGGGCAATTCATATATGTGTGTTTGGTGATCAAAAGAGAGAGAGAAAAAAAAATTGATTTTGAAATTCTGAGAGACAGCAAGCAAGAGAGAGAATAAACATCTCTCTCGGGTCTGGTTCGTCATCATTTCCATCTTGATGATCATCATCAACATTGTCGATGGATGTAAATCATCATCAACATCATCATTGTAGGAAATTGTGGCGGCAATCCACTTGAAAATTTCCCATAGGAATTATCTTTATAGAATCCATTGGATTCTATGACGATATTGATGATGTTAATGTCGATGTTGATGAGGATGATGATGATGTTAATGATGAGAAATGAAGAAAAATAATTCATCGAATCAGTTTTCTTCATTCATTCATTCATTTCTACTAATGTTGATGGATACTATTCTTGTTTGTTTTTTTTGACATTCAACATGATACACACCGAACATGTATCATCATCGGACAGCAACAGAAAAGTAAAACGATGATTGTATTGAAACCAAAAAAGTATTCTCTCTATATATAGCCAATATATTGAAAATTAATATTGAAAAAAAAATCCAATGCATTTTGCCTACAATTTAAGTTAATTAATAATCAATGTTTTTTCTTCATCCAAATACACACGATGATGATGATGATGATGATGATAATCATAACGGTAAACATAACAGTTTATTTAGTTATATTTTCTCTCCCTCCCTCTCTATTGCCTGTTTAAAGTCAACATTATTTTCATCAAAAAAAACCGATAATTCTCGCCATATATGGATATCAACAACAAGAAAAAAAACATCAACAAAGCAGTAACGAGAGGAAAAAAATCCATTTATATCGGTTAATAATTATCTATTTTAGGTTTCCATAATAATTATGATAATCAAAATCAAAATGATAGATTCACATTGAACAAACAAACAAACAAACATAAAGCTTACTTCCAAATATTGTATTGATCAGCAACAACAACATGAAAATGGTTTTAGTTGAACGGGAAAAAAAATCATCATTTTAGGAATTATTTTTTGTTTTCTACGATGAATCTAATGAATCAGAATTCATAAACATCATCATCATACGGCTTATTATTAGATTTGTCATTTTGTTGTCATCATCATCATCATCATTAAAATCAAAAATTGATGATGTTTCTATGAATTTTCTTGCCTTTTTCTTCTTCTTCTTCTTCTCTGGCACTGATCCTAATGGTCAACAGACGATGTTTGTTCTGTTTGCTGGTTTTTTTCGTCATCATTCATAAGTAAGTATAATCGGATTATAAATGATAATAATAATAATTATTATTATTTTCTATCGTTACTAGAATGCAAATATTATTATCATTATCCATTATTATTATTTTTGGATAATTAATATTTTTTGTAAAACTGAATTAAATTTACTTTCTTCTGTTTTGTTTTTTGAATCAAATCAAATTCAGCGCTGAATAATAATGATTTTAAAAAAAAAATGATAAAACTTACTTTTAATGATACGATCAGTTGTTGAAAGTTTTTGGTTTGCATTATTCGTTGTTGTTGTTGTTGTTGTTTGATTTGTTGTTGAATTTGTTGATATTTGTTGACCAGTTCCTGTTCCTGTTGTTGTTGCTGTTGTCGTTCCTTGTTGCTGACCGGTTGTTGATGATGATGTTGAAGAAGCGGTAGCAGCAGCAGCAGCATTAGATGTTGCATTAGCAGTAGCGTTTGTCGTTCCACCACCGCTACCGCTTCCACCCGTTGAATTATCATTATTTTGAACTTTGTTCTGACCGGTCGTTGCGCTTGTTGAATTGGCCATTTGAAATTTTTAAATATATTTTGTTTTTGAGATTTTTATTGTAAAATATGAATGTTTTTTCTTGTTTGTGTGAAGACGAAATATTTTGTTTATTTATTTACAAAGAATTTAAGCAACAACAAAGTGTTTGGTTTTGTTGTTTTTTGCAGGTTTTGCAGGTTTCAAAAAACATTCATAGATAGGTAGATAGGTAGGTAGTGTTTGGCTTTACAAAAATGGTGTATGTGTGTTTGTGTGTGAAAGTGGAAGTGGAAGGGATGTGATTTAATGGCAGAATTTGGATAATAATGTTAATAATGATGAAATCCGATCGATTGATTGATTGATTATCGTCGTCGTCGTCGTTGTTATCGATTATATGTGTGTTTATCGTATATGGCCAGGTATCGTTGGTTGTGCATATAAATAAATTGAGCTCTAAAAAATGGATGAAAAAAAAACGAAAAACGAAAAACATTAGTTTTTTTTGTAACGAAAAAAAAACAAACAAGCAAAGAAAAAAGATACAAAGATTAAATGATTCGGAATCATTAATGATGTTTTAGTTCGAGTGAAGAAGAAGAAAAAAAAATCTGTAAAACCAATAAAACCCAGAGCAAACGGCAATTTTCAGCAAAAATACCTCAATTCTTTTTTAAATTGAAGTAGGTTTTTTTTTGAATTGTTCAGCAGAAAAAACAAAAATTTCCGAACAACTTTTCCATTTTCAATTCCAAATTGAAAAAAAACAACCGAATAAAAACAAACAAAACACTCATGTGACATTCTTTATAACTTTCTTTATAACTTTCTTTTTTCCAAATATATTTTCAATATTTGAAAAATATATTATTTCAAGTTTCAAGTTTTTTTTTCTGATTTCATTCACAGATACACTTTATTTTGATTTCATTTCATTATATAACCCATCCAAAGTTATTAATGATTTTTCAATTTTCATACATTGAAAATGATTGATTGATTGATTGTCACACAAACACAATCATTATCATCATCATCATAGAATCGAAAAAAGTCAAAACACATTTCAAAAACAGATGTGAATTTTTTTTGGTGAAAAACAACAAACATTTTTCCATTGAATCAAATGAAACAAACAAGAAGCATTTCTGCTCTGAAAAGAAAATGAAATAAATAACAACAGATTTTATTTTGATTTTTTCAAATTTTTTTTTTCAATACGGAGATGGTTGTGGTTGTGATGAAGGTGGTGAATATTTTTGCGTTGGATATTTTTCCTCTTCCATACCTTTTGCAATAACTGTTTCAATTTTTTCTTCAACTGGACGTATTTCCTGTGTTATTTGTCGTATTGGTTGAATTTGCATACGTATTTTTTGTATAATTGGTTTTTGTACATTTTGTACAAGTATATCAGGTTCAGCCATAATAGATTGTTTTTGTATTTTACCATTACCGGATTGAATTCCTTTTTGAATGGTTTGTATATTTGAACCACCACCATTAAATCGTAATATTAGATTTCCACCACCATTACCGTTTATATCGACTACGGTTGATCCACCACCACCA